TGTCTATAGTAGTTAAACTGTGTGGGTAAATATATCAGTGTGCATCCTCGCTTGGAGATAGTTTGACTGCAGGTCGCTATAAGCGACTTACTGCTCTGGTGACACATTGAACGTTCTTGTTAATAGGTTTCGGTTTTTGCCATTGTTGATGTATTAATTCTGAGTGTATGCGTTTATTATCATATTTCTTTGTTAGGTGGGGATAAATAGCACTTTAGATTATGGTCGAGCACGTTAGTTCTTGTTGATGTATTGTTTGTGAAGCATACGTTAATTTGGTGTTTAGTTCAGTAAAATAAACAGCTGTTTAATGTGACGATAATAGTTCCATTTGTTTTGATTAGAGTTAGGACTGGTATTTATTGGTGTCTAATTTTACTATTACTGCTATCTAGACTGTATACAAAAGATCGCATGTCTGGACTAGAACATTTCTGGTTCTAGTCCCCGCCTAACGAATTCTTTTTTTTTTTTTTTTTGGGAACTTAGGCCTTTCATTTCTATTACACTTCATTCTCTAGTTCCCTTCCTACTACTGATTTGACTGACATAATAATACAAATGTTAAGTTTAGAATTAGCTTTTATTACTTTAGACCTCCAAAAATATCCTAGTGCGATGAATTTTTCTCTTGCCTTTTGTATTCGTATTTAATATCGCTGTCGGTGCCTCTGTCTCTTTCTACATTACTCCCCAAATTGGTATATGACTCCACACCTTAGAGTAGGACATCAATGTATCTTTTTGAGAGAACTAAACTAGTTCCAGTGAATCAAAAGGGGAGAAACATCATAGATACAGCTGAAGTAAACAAACAAGCCACTCACCATTCTCTTGTTCATTGAAGCCATTTTTTTTTTGTTACATGCTATTCAAGGTTGAACTGGTAAAAAATATTCTATAGGTCTTTGTACAGTCTTTTCACTGTTATAGAATGGGTTTCTGATTACCATCGATCTTTGCAGCGGCCGATACAGGCAGGTATAGTATGTTTACTGAGGCCTAATTTATGTTTAATTGTTTCTGCGTTTCGGTTAAACAGGTTTTCTACACAACTACTATCATCATCAAGTAACACGACTGGTGTGGGGAAACTTGTATTTCCACAGCTTGCCATCTCCAGCAGTATGTATAGTTTTCGTCTTCTAACACCTTCTCTTGCCTGAACTTGAGGCTGTCTAGAATTTTCTCACTCTGTGTCCCGATATCCTATCATCTTCATGTAGCAGATCCATTGCAGAACGTCGCTCTTATCACAGCCCGCATGGGTCTCTTGTCAGATCTCCCACCCGTGCATTTTCCTATCTAAAATGTCACTTTCATCTCGCCTCCATCTTCGTGCTGTCGATCCCTGCCCCTCTTTCTTGGCATTAATCTTTCTGCCCAAATCTTTCTTTCTTTAAAAAAAAAATTTATTTTGGTTTATTTTTAAGAAAAGAAAAAAAGAGATAGAAGAGGTACTTGTACTCACCACAAAGTATTTGTTAACGCAGCGTCAATAAAATGATGCATAGAAAGGTGCTAGTTCTGCGTGTCGTTGCGTACTGTCAAGAGAAAAGCCCTGCTTTGCCACAATCTTTCCCAATCCGCCGTGGCATTTTGTGCTCAACAATTTTACAGTTGTGCTGAAGATGGGAACGGAGCGCTTATGGGGGTATCCCGAGTGCTATGGTGTCGATTCTTAATTCAACATTCAACTCCTTTCCATAAATTTCCATGCTGCAGTTTCTTTTTATAATGCGGTCAAATTTAACAACTTTTGTTTTAGAGAAGAATGCAAAATAGCAAAATATTCATTGGACAGCCAGAACGAGCAAATCCATGTTCTGGAACAGCCGAGGGCCCGAAAACCACGTATCATAAACATCGTTTTTACCCCCATGTTATGAGAAGAATGTTGAATGTTGAATTAAGAATCGACATCACAGCACTCTGGACACTCCCATAGGTGCTCAGTCCCCATCTTCAGCAGCAAGCGAAGAGTTCCAATTCCGATGGTACCAGTAACCGTCTGATTGTACATCCGTCTCATCCTTTCTCTGAGTGTTGAGCGTCGGACAGATCCCCTGGTAACTCCTCGCAGCGCCATTTTCCTGAGACCGTAATGATCTGTTATGAGAAGAGGAAAGATGGCACTCGCTGTGGCCACAGGAAAGAACTATGGAATAAGAGACAATCGAAGATAACGTGGGAAGATTCCTAACAGCCCGTGGTACTAGAATGAAAACTTCTCAGCACACCATGAACTGATACACGCTGTCAAAAATTGCAGGTTATGGAGAGGCATGATCTTTGCAGAAGTGTCTTTGCTCTGGAACCCACATGGACACAGAAATAAAGGCAGACTTTAAAGAGCTAGAGGGCAAAATTAAAAAAAATATTGGTGAGGATGGGGGGGGGGGGGGGGGGGGGGGGGTGAGCTGCATGCAACAGCGACAGAGTTGGTGTGAGTTGTTTGAGGGCCTATACTCTATTTGTTTCTGTAACTGCTTTTCTGTCAAATGTTACATGGGTTCACGTGTAAAAGCTGGTTCTATGGAACATGCACAAGCGCCGGAACCTGGGGTCCCATGCACTTTGATGCCCCCACCCCCTTCTCAAAATTTGTTAGGAAGGAGCTGAAGACTTTCCGTGAATATCTTAGGAGCAGAGCATAGAGACTTTCTTTTTAGAAACATTTGTGATTTCCTTTCATATTATTGCAAGCATATTATTATGTGTTTGCCAACCAGCACATAATTATTTAAAAAAGATTATATTAATATTATTATAATTACCCAGTTAAATATGGCTTAGGCCCTTCGGTCTCTTCCGTCCGCTCGTAGACAGTTATAAGGAACATAAGTCCTAGAGAGTGTACAACCAGTTTTTCCTTTTGTTTCTAGAAAAAAAAAAAAATATTCCGGTACTCAACACAGAGTGTTTGTGAAAAGTGCCGGTACTCAACACAGAGTGTCTCTTTGAAAGGTGCCGGTACTCAACACAGAGTGTCTCTTTGAAAGGTGCCGGTACTCAACACAGAGTGTCTCTTTGAAAGGTGCAGGTACTCAACACAGAGTGTCTCTTTGAAAGGTGCCGGTACTCAACACCGAGTGTCTATTCGAAAGGTGCCGGTACTCAACACAAAATGTCTATTTTAAAGGTGCCGGTACCGCCAGGAAACAAAGCCCCGTGTATAACCAATACAAAGGACATACACACATTGTGGGAGATCACTTGCGGCCATCCCTAGAGATGAACTGCACGTGACTGGCTGAACTCATCGGACACTATTATCTGGTAGCCCTTTAGGCCGAAGTACATTCATTTATTCCTGTTTGTTTTAGGAACCCGGTCAAAATGGACGCTAGGCACGGTCACTGTTTTGAGTCGTGGCAATTTTTATTTCCGCTTCTGCCAGACGGTGGCCGTTGCAATTTTTTTCCAATTGTAGACCAAAAGGATATAGTGTTGTTTCCCAGCTACTGAGTTGAGTGCATGGCGCGACACTGTGAGCTGTTGCTTTCATTTGGAATGTTTCTTGACTGTGACCAACTTGGTGTAGTGAATTGTAGATTCAGAAAATGGCGCATGCCCTGTCGTCGCAATATTGGTTGCCCTTATGTGACTAAAAATGATCGCGTGTGCAACTGCTGATCTGTTTGTTACTTCTGCTACCGTAGAGGATGAACTGCATTTCTAATGTCAGACTGTTTGTGTTAGCACTTCTGATGGCTACCGTATGCTTTTAATGCGTGTCTATGCTAGTGCATAACCTGAGACAGCATTCTGTCAATCTTTTCACAAGGGACTGTGATAAACATTTTGTGTGTTTTTCGTTGGCACAGGAGCGGAGCAACTATGGGAAGACCCGTTTGCTATGAAGCTGAAACTAAGATTACCAAGATTACTAAGGACATTCAACAACTATAGGTAAAAAATATGGAGCTTTTCAAAGCAAAGGTCAACACGCGAGGCTAGATCAAACAAACCCGTCTAAGTGGCATTAAAATAAGTAAACGAAATGTCTATTTGCATATGTGGTAGAATTAAACAAGTCAATTGTTAGGAAGCAAACACGCACATCGCCCGTGTGTCCCCGGGACCTTCAGGAGAAGCAAAGAATAGTAACACTGCACCCTGCCAGTCATGTCGTAAGAGGCGACTAAGGATAGGGTTGGGCTTCAGGTTGGCCACGTCATCCTGTAAAAACAATAGTCAGAAAAACCAGCCAACAAAGAGGAACAAGAAAAACACAACCAGCTAAGATAACGTGGAGGCTCTTCTAATAGAAGAAGTATGACACCATGTGGAGAAACCGAAAAGGAGTCCGGATCGTCGGCATACCTCGTTTGACCTAGGAAAATCTCCAGAATTGGCACATGAATTGTTAGAACTTTTTTTTACGGTGTAGGAAGAACAATGTAATTATTAAGGGAAATTAAACATTCCCCAAAACAAATGGAGAATTGAGCTAAAGAGTAAAGTTAAAAAGATGGGGAGGACATGGGAGAGAGCTGAATGCAATAGGGAAGGATTGAACGACGGCATGAGTCGGTTGAGAGCTTATGTTCACTGAGGATTGAATGTTGAATATTGAATTAAGAATCGACATCACAGCACTCGGGACACCCCCGTAAGCGCTCCGTTCCCATCTTCAGCAGCAAGCGAAAAGTTAAATTTGTACCAGTAACTGTCCGATTATATTTTCATATGAGGATTAGAAAGGCAGAAGGGGAATAAACACGCACATTAAATGCAGATAAGTAATTTGATGAAGAGCAGGACTTGTTAATTCATAATAACCTGGTGTTTTGTTTGTTTTTAGACTGCTTAAAAACATGACACAAACCAACTTATTCTGTAGGGTTGTATCATGGACCTGGAACTAAAAACTGATTTTATTTTAAGCATTAACCTTGAAGTCTGAGTCTGAATGAGAAAAAAAAAAAAAAAAAGAAGACACTGAGGTGTTTTATGATCTGTCTTTTTATTCTCAGCTCGTAGTAGTACTGGTGAAAATGCTGAGCACAATTGTCAGTTTGTCTTTGAGCCTAAATCTTGTTTATGGTGAGTCAATTTATCTATTCTTTAAAAAATTATCTAATTATTAATTATATATCATTATGGTCTGAAGAAAAGGACAAAGCCGTCTTTATGGCTTTACGGGTCCCTGAGCAAACTAGCATGCTTTGACTCATACGACAATCGCATAAATCAAATTTTTATTGATGGCAAGTCACTTGATATACACACAGCAGGGGGCCCATATGCTAGGGAGGCCCAGGTTGAGAGGCCCAGCGGGCTCAATGCGTTAAGATAGCACTGTACTTAGGGGCCGGGGTCTGATTGACGCTCTTTACTCAGAAGAAAGGCAAAGCGGATTAAACATCAGACTTGCACTGGCACCACCGGAACTGTAACTGTTTGCTGGCTGCTCAAGATGAGTTCGGAGCAGTTACGGAATTGTCCTTATTGCTTTGATATTAGAACAACACTCAAGACCCTAACAATTATCTATTCGTTGTTTTATGTTACTGGTTTGTACAATGCTTTTTCAGTCCTCTTTTGTCATAGCTAATCGATCGAGGGGGGGGCGTGAGGGGAGGGGGGGTTGGGGGGGGGGAGAGGCTGCGTGGTCTCGAGGCATTATGTCCGCCTTGAGTGCTAGAGGTTCCGGGTTCAATCCCCAGTAAAAGCTGGGATTTTCTTCACCTGGACTTGGACTTTTACTAATTCCCTCTGGTCTCTGGGTAGTGAGATCGGACGCCCGTTTGCAGTGTTGCTCACGTAAAAAATCAATTTACAGTTGGAAATCGAAAAAAGAAGCCTTGCGGCGCTGATATTTTATGGACAGTTCCCCGTAAAGATTAATAGTATAGGGGTGGTATTGTGTTGAATGACCACCGACTTACACCAACCCTAACCACCCTCTATAATATTTGCCCGTCCCAGGAACTTGTGTGGGGAGGGGGGGAGGGGGGGGGGGGCAGAGTTCAAAGGTAACATTACAGATGTTTGAGTATCACGATAATGCTTTCTTACCGAACAGTAAAATGTAAGAAACTTAGATTCCTTTTCGCACAATCAAATTCTGTAGTCTTGTTTTTTTTTAAATGTAGTTGTCTCGTTGTCCCTGTTGTTGTATTCTGATAAAGGTTTTCTAACGGCAACGGCCATTTCATCAACCACAGTAGCCTAGTGGAAAATCAAATGGTTTCCTCACTTTAAGAGAATACCTTGTAACGCCAGACTATACGCGGCATACACCAAAAGAGGAGAAGGACGTAGAGCAAAAGGTAGAACAAGAACAACATGGAAAGATAATAGCAGAGAAACTCTACAACAGTTCGATGTGTCTATGACCGACGTGACCAGAAGAGCAAGAAACAGAACCTCAGATCTCCCTCGAAACACAAACAGTAGAAGAGGAAGGGAAGAACCAGTGACGACTGTTGAAAAGCTGTCCGTTTAGGTAGAATTTTGTTCTGTTTACAAGTGTTTCAGTGTGATGGTGCAACTCTGCGGCTTAAAGGTAAGTGAGCGAGTTTCACAACGCTTCCGACATATCTCAGCGGTGGAGGGTTAAGGAGGGAAATCGCTGTTCTCGTGGCCTGTAAACAGTGAAATGAGAGGCACACTGTTGAAGATATAGGGGACTCACCCCGTAAGCCAGCAGTGGATACCCACTATGAACAATTCTAGTGTCAGACAGTTTGTGTTGACACTTCTGACGACTGCCTTATGCATTTAGGCGTCTGTAATTTATTAGATATGCGGAGACAGCAGTGTGTGTGATTTTTTTTTCGTAAGCGAACATGATGGACATTTTGAATGGTTTTCGTCAGTACCTGAACGGAGCAGCTTTGAGGTGACCTGTTTGCTTTGAAGTCGAAACTTTAATTAACTGAATATCCGATTACCTTATATTAATAGTGGAATCGACACTAATGTATATTTGTTTCCTTTTAATGATAAGTCTGTATCATAATAACAGGACTGTACCCGTCTAGCAGAATAGTATACTACCTGCACACAACACCGGCGTCATGGGCGTCGGCCAGAGATACGTGTGCTAGGTATGGGGGCCACCTGGTCAACGTGAAGAATTCTGCCCTAGTGGACGCCGACGTCGATACCTTGAATAGGTGGTTACAGTGGAAGGATGCTTTCAGCGGGTGAGTATAGGTTCACAGACACACAACAAACACAACCCCCCCCCCCCCCCATATATATATATATATATATTGTATATACATACTAGGGCTGTATGGAATAGTGATTTTCACTATTCGGCCGAATACGAATAGTGGTACCAACTATTCGGCCGAATACGAATACGAATAGTGTATCATCATCATCATTATCAGGTGCCTTGCCAACTGGCGTGGGCGATTATGTCTTTCTATCATCTGCAGTCTCCTGCAGCATGTATCAGTTAGTATGCTGACACACCTCCATGCCATGCAACAAGACTGTCCCGAATCTTCTGTCGTTGTCTTCCTCTATCCCTCCTTCCACAGTTCTTTCTAGTGGTCACATAATGTTTAATTTTCCCTCTTCTCATAAAATGGCTGAAAAATGACGACCGTCTCCTTGTGATGTCTGTGATTAGTTGTCTTCGGGCTCCCGCCTCTTTCAAAACCATCGTTTGCTCGGCCGTTCGTTCGATGTAATTTAAACGCACATTCATATTCTCGTTAGCAATATCTTCAAATTTGATTTGGGCGAAGACACCCTGAAAGAAAGAAAAATGCATGATCTCTTTCTTTCTCTCTCTCTCTCTCTCTCTCTCTCTCTCTCTCTCTCTCTCTCTCTCTCACACACTGCGGTTGGCATTTTATGCAGTTTGTACCACGCAACCGGGTCGCAGTTTTCCCCGCTACAACAGACTTAAGCAACAGCAACTATAGTGTTAATGAGAGAGTTATTTCAGTCCATCACAGTGTATGCAGAAACGGGAGTAAGGTAACCACTATTCGTATTCGGCCCGACCGCAACTATTTGGCAAAATACCGAATAGTTATTAGGTCCACTATTCGGCCCCGAAGCGAATACGAAGCGAATATTCGGTACAGCCCTAATACATATGCTATGAAAAAATTTGAAACCAAACGAGAAGTCGAACAAGTATGTTTCACAGTACCACAACTATAAACGGCAAGTGAATGTTGCGGCTACAAAGCCTTCATCGGCACAATCACGAACATACAATAGCAGAAGCACAAATAGGAATGCAATCCTTGACTGAATTGTTTCTGAGAGAAATCACATATCTGTCTGGTGGGTTAAATCTTTGACGCGTGTGTGACCATAAGAAATAAATATAGTCAGGAAAGACAACTGTTGCAAGGACTGTCACTCAGAAATATTAGATAAAACTGTGTTGGGTTTTAAGTCCCCTTTGACGGCTTGTACACACATATGCACACACATATGCACACATACACACACATATATATATATACACACACGCCCGTCTCTCTAGCGCAGTTGGCTAAACCGGATTGCGCGGTGAGCGGGTGACGAACTCCTTGTGGTACGGGTTCACTCCCGGGGGAAGGCAGAAAAGCCACATTTTCTCCCAGATTTACGGTATTTACAATGGAATCAAGGCCGAAAGGTTGCGATATCCATAATACTGAGCCTAAGGGTTCTGGATATCATGGCTTCTGGATACTAGAACAAATAAACATATATATACACACACACACACCCATATATATATGACATCGCAATTACCACAATACCAATTGTGTTCTCAGCTGTTTTCTTTACGTGGTCGACCTGTTCGTACCAGATGAAACGGTTCAACCATTTATAACCTAAGTCATTAACCCATGTGGGTGCACTTTTTCGTTATTTTGAAGCCCTTCCCTGGCTCTTGCCTGGGGCCGCAATATAACCATAAATATGGTCAGAGTGCTGATGGTCTGTAAAAATATGGGACGCTCTGCCCATATGACCGATGCGCCGAAAGGCATGAAAAGGGAACTTTTACTGGTCTAATGGCTAAACACGGTTTCTGGGACCTCTCCACGGGTGATCCTCATCCACATGGTGGCACTCTGTGTCATCGGGTGTTGATCGCTAGTGTGACTTCCTGGTGGGGTAAAAGTACTACTTCTACCACTAAGATGAAACGGTGAAATAGTTTTTAATGCAATGCATGCAGTAGGCTGCGTGGTCAGAAGGCATTGTGTCTTGAGTGCTAGAGGTTTCGGGTTTAATCCCCGCTAAAGGCTGAGGTTTCTTTCACATGGACTTGGACTTCTAGTAATTCCCCCTGGTCTCCGGGTAGTGAGATCGGACGCCCGTGTGCATTGTTGCGCACGTAAAAAAATACCTTGGCAGCTGTAAATCGAAAAGAGTAGCCTAACGGCGCTCTCTGGGCGATATTTGGTGTTTACAATCTACCCAAGGTATTTCAGGATCTTCGCCCGTGCATTGTGCTGAGCTTCTTCAGACTCAGACTTAGAGTCAGAAGTAGAATGGAGCAGTTATGGGTTACTACCCTTGTGTTATGACGTTGATCCGTTGTCTACACCTAAACGTAAGCTTTAATCACTTAACATTTTATATTGACAATGAAACTTTTTTTTTAAACGGTTTATTCTTACTGTTAATTTACTACTAATTCGTCCCTCTACTCCATTTACGTCTAAAAAAGGTTAGTTGCGTATCCTTTACAGGACGTTGCAGAACCAACCCCAGCAGCCCCTGGCTGTTGTGTGGTTTCTCTAGGCAAATTTACGTCCAGTAGTTTGCCATTGCTTCCTGGATGGTCGGCCCACTGATACCTCTGTCGAAACCAACGCAAGGTGCATGGCCCGCAGCTGTTATCGAACCCGGCACCCCGGCATTACGAAGCGTTCGTATCGACTTAGCCACAGAGTCGACGTTTACGTCTAAACCAGAGCGAAAAGAAGTCTATCTTCGTGCTTACGTCACTGATTCAGAAACTGTCAGTAACGCATGGAAGCTACTTGTTACCAATGCTTGCAATGCTAGCTTCTCACGCTTCTGAACAGTGAATCGATGAGGAGGAAAACATCACGTGATACCCTCTACAGTGTAACCATTACATATTATCATTGTTCACGTGCCATTTGATCCCACTTCGCCACTGTCGGAGCATCCATACATATTGTTTCTATTCATTTCAAAATGTTAATTAAATGCTACCTATAATGCCTGCAGAGTGACTTCAAACTTGTGGACTGGACTTCACCGCTTCACTGATCCCAACTCTAACACAGACACAGTGCTATGGCATCCCTGCCAGCGATTTACTAATGCGACTTATCCCAACGGAGACATAGCGAAACAGCTGCTTGAGAGTCCTCATTACTGCACCAGCGCGGATTATGCATTCACACTGTCTCCAACACCTTGCGATATCAAGTTACCTTACATCTGTCAGATAGATGAAGGTATTTGTTTATTGTCATTATTATTCTCTGTAATTGCAACCTGATATATTAACACCTAGGGACTAAAAAACCACTAGTTGGGTGCGAATCAAATCGGACGAAATCGCTAGATACCAAATTCAACCGCATTAAAAAGATAAATTGGATTGGAGAATGTGCTGTCCAGTGTGGATTTAGGGTATAGAAATATTTAGGGCATTAAAAAAAAGTGCCCGTACTCACCATTACAGTACAGCTGAAAAGGATCTGCGTGGGTTCTGGGCCTCAGTATGGGGAAAACAAAAATAGACCCACTGCCTCGCCTATAAGCATGTAGTAAGAGTCGATTAATTCGGGGTTGCATTTGCCTGAGAGGCAAGCAACCAGCCATCTACATACAAACAAGTCAGATCTGTCAAAAGATGTGCACGCAACACAAAGGTCCTGGACCAAAAGGTCCAGATGTGGACGAACAACCAGAACTTTCTGCCAGAGTTTACAGCTAGTGAATGCTTAGAAGAAGAAAAAGTAAAAATAAAAAGGTGATGATTAAGACAGGTACAGGTTATGCGTAGTGTCAAAAAAAAAAAAAAAAGTCCTGACAATATTTATTAATGTTCAACGATCCAGCAACGTTTGGACTTAATTCTTCAGCCAGAAACCATGCCGTTAAATTAGTTTTGCATCCAATAGAGGTCTTCGCAAGCCAGCCATAACTAAATGAATTGCCTCCTAGTTACTCGTCTTTTACGACATGCTTGTAACTGGCCTTTACAGCAGGGAGATGTAGAACCCGGCGAGGGGTGGGTACAAGTACCAACAAAGTACTTTGCCTTCTTTTCTGTCTGCAGCCGACTAGACAGAGAATGTAGGCCACAAAGTCCTGCCGCTGTGAGGGCAGAAATTCAGGCCTTAATTTTCGAAAATTCTCTAAAAGGGTGATGTTGTCATTTATACAAATGGGGTTGTCGCTCAACACGTGAGAAGCTCTTTTGATTTTAAAGCTCAGGTTGGAAGTAGACTTGTGGAGGATTCTGGTGCTGTTGCCTTGACCACAAGTAGTCTGAATTTGAAGGTCATAGCAGTGACCAATTATGGCTTGAGATGCAGACTTTCACTTGGGCACGCTTTCTCAGTGACTCAATGAATATGCCCAAGAAGACAGAGATGGGCTGAATTCGAAGACAGTGGTAGTGTGTCTCTGAGGCGGTCACGGCTGGCAAGGATCGGTCTCATTTTAGCGCGCATGGGTATGAGGAGGTACAAGGAAATGAGCAAGCTGATAAGCTTGCAGGTCAGATTTCTGTGGAGGACGGATGAGCCACAGGACAAGCTGACATTCTGAATGCTCTACTAGAAGTAGGACCTTTACGAGAATTAAACGAGAACTGTGAATCTGCAAACATGGTCAGACAGCAAGAAGATCAAGTTAAACAGGGAAGGGGCCAAACAAAAGCACTATGCAGGATATCAACGAAGAATAATAAACCAGCACAGAAGTCGTATCGTCAGCCGCTGCACTGCGGAAGTTACTGGGGAGAGAATCCGTGCAATCAATCAACTGAATGGTTCAATGTGAAAATAGGATGATCTGTCGACCGTCTTGCTACAGTGAGAGACTATCCACAAATGTAGTTCTTCTTCTTCTTGTTCACTGGCTGTGAATTTCGGCGGAAAGTACTGGTTGTTCGTCCATTTGGGCTTCTGGCTTTGTACCAGGACCTACAGATGTACTTAAAGACACGTTGCATTCTTTGTTGTTCAAAAAGACTTTTCTTACATTTTCATTTGTTCAAAACAATTTTTTTTCGCACCAGTTATCAGTACTACAGCAAATAGAGAACACCTAATACAACTATTATAATCTCTAGCTTTATTATTATTATTATTATTATTATTATTAACACTACCACTAGCACCACTACTGCTGCTACTACAGCACCAACCACAGCTATTACTGCTACCGACCACCGCCAACATTACATGAACTATGACGAAAACAACAGCAACAACAACAATAACAACAACAACAACAACAACAACAACGACTACTACTACTTCTTCGCTTTTGTCATTTTTACAAACAAAAAGGTCAACTACTTTAATGTTTCTGCGTTTGCAACAATGTGTTTTCTTCAATGTTTCTACGTTTGTAACAATGTGTTTTCTTCAATGTTTCTACGTTTGTAACAATGTGTTTTCTTCAATGTTTCTACGTTTGTAACAATGTGTTTTCTTACAGTGTTTCTCCGTTTGTAACAATGTTTTCTTCAATGTTTCTACGTTTGTAAAACTGTGTTTTCTTCAATGTTTCTACGTTTGTAAAACTGTGTTTTCTTCAAAGTTTCTACGTTTCGCAACAATGTGTTTTCTTGAATGTTTCTACGTTTGTAACAATGTGTTTTCTTTAGGCCAGTGCTACTTTCTGCCGCTGGAGAAAAATGCGTTTAAGAACACTCCGGCAGTAACAAGCAATGGGGACCTGAACACTTGTGCCAGGAGCTGCAGAAACGACATCGACAAAAGTGGCGCCGAGTGTTGGGGCTTTATGGGTCAGTTGTAGTTTTCTTGATGCTTTTTTAATATCATACCCCAGATGACGTCACAGGACAGTCCAACATTTTAGAGGGTGGTAAGACTGGGTTTACCAGCTTTCTTAAGCTTTTAACGCCCCTAAAACACCTAAAACTGGTCCTAACCCTAACTCACCTACGTCCCACGAATGCATGCAGCCTAGGTCCCACTACTGCATGCAGCCTATCTACCACCCCCTGAAATATCAGACTGTCCCTTGACCTGTGGATTTCCCATGCTTGGGGTAGGATATTAATAAAACACCGTTTTCTCAATTAATAGTTACTGTACATGTGTTGTCCAGTTAGAAGTTTGTCCCTTAGATTGTTTAATTGTTTCCGTGTCAGTAGGTTTTCGCTGTAGAAACTCATTGTTGGATTTGGCTATTAATACAGGATGAAGTCTTTTATTGTCCTCAGACACTGAGTGGTAGAGCAGGGATAAGTGACCAACTCTCTGCAAGCCTCTTTGTAATTTGGTATTTAATAAAATTGATAATGGCCGTTTCATTAATTGTTGCCAAGTCGTTGTGGCTTTCTATTCACTCTTTTTGTGTGTCGAGTACCTAATAAACATGTTTTCTGTGTTGCTCTGTTGAGATGCCACATAAAAACATGTTTTGTTATTATGGTTTCACTAAGAGATCTTGCAACTATAAGTGCAAACAGACAGATTATTAATAGCATATTCATTCCAACATTAAGCTACCAGTGCCAAACATGGACACTATCTAAAGCCCATATACGCAAAATCACCACTTGCGAGATGAGGTGCCTGAGAAAAGCAGCCAACATAACCATCCGAGATCGAGTGAATAATGAAACTATCAGGAAAATTGTGGGAACGACACCTTGTACTAGATTCATCGAGAAACAGCAGATCAAGTGGTTTGGCCATCTTGTTAGAATGCCGCAAGATCAAATACCATCACAAGCACTACATCTCAGAAGATCAGCTACAAGAGCAAAAGGACGGCCGCAGAAAACATGGATCAACAACATTAAAGACACTCTACGCCCTCAAGGCATGACAATAGCCAGTCGCAGCCAACGTGCACTGGATCGCAAATTATTACTTCCCACGTCGCTTAACGGCAGAAGTGGTTTATGATGATGATGATGATGATGATGATGATGATGATGATGGAGAGATCTTGCAACATCTGTAGCTTTCAAATCCTAAACTTCTTCATGGGGGTTCTGTGGCGTGGGGTTGTGAGAAATAGATCCAGGTCCCGTAACAAGCGAGAATGTCTTAAGAAAAAACTGATGAGTTGTGTTTCTTTAGAAATCGGAGAGCATCTGCCTGAAAGACAAGGAACCAGCAGTCTATATACACATGAGCAAAACTCGGGTTCTTAAATAAGGCTAAGTCGAGAAGTGTACGACCAACTTGGACTGTCCGCCAGTGTTTACAGCCGGCAAACGCTAAGGAGGAGTAGAAGAAGAAGCAGAAGAAAAAGAAGAAGAAGAAGAAAAAGAAGAAGAATAAAAAGAAGAAGAAGAAGAAGAAGAAGAAGAAGAAGAAGAAGAAGAAGAAGAAGAAGAAAAGAAGAACAAACAAAAACAAGAAAAAGAACAATAAATTTAAGAAGAAGAAGAAGAAGAAGAAGAAGAAGAAGAAGAAGAAGAAGAAGAAGAAGAAGAAGAAGAAGAAGAAGAAGAAGAAGAAAAAGAAATAGAAGAAGGAAAAGAAGAAGAATAAGAAGAAGAAGAAGAAGAAAAAGAAGAAGAAGAAGAAGAAGAAGAAGAAAAGAAGAAGAAAAGAAGAAGAAGAAAAAGATGAAAAAGAAGAAAAAGGAGGAGAAGAAGAAGAAGAAGAAGAAGAAGAAGAAGAAGAAGAAGAAGAAGAAGAAGAAGAAGAAGAAGAAGAAGAAGAAGAAGAAGAAGAAGAAGAAGAAGAAGAAGAAGAAGGAGGAGAAGAAGAAGAAGAAGAAGAAGAAGAAGAAAGAAGAAGAAGAAGAAGAAAAAAGAAGAAAGAAAGAAAGGAAGACAAAGAAGAAGAAGAAGAAGTAGAAGAAGAAAGAAGAAAAAAGAAGAAGAAGAAGAAGAAGAAGAAGAAGAAGAAGAAGAAGAAGAAGAAGAAGAAGAAGAAGAAGAAGAAGAAGAAGAAGAAGAAAAAAGAAGAAGAAGAAAGAAAGAAAAAGAAGCAGCAGAGGAAAGAAAAAAAGAAATAAGAAAGAATAAGAAGAAGAAGAAGAAGAGAAGAAGAAGAAGAAGAAGAAGAAGAAGAAGAAGAAGAAGAAGAAGAAGAAGAAGAAGAAGAAGAAGAAGAAGAAGAAGAAGAAGAAGAAAAAGAAGAAGAAGAAGAAGAAGAAGAAGAAGAAAAAGAAGAAGAAAAAGAAGAAAAAGAAGAAGAAAAAGAGGAAAAATGTAAGAAGAAGAAGAAGAAGATAAAGAAAAAGAAGAAGAAGAAGAAGAAGAAGAAGAAGAAGAAGAAGAAGAAGAAGAAGAAGAAGAAGAAGAAGAAGAAGAAGAAGAAGAAGAAGAAGAAGGATAAAAAAGAAGAAAAAAAGAAGAAGAAAAAGAAGGAAAAAAAGAAGAAAAAAAGAAGAAGAAAAAGAAGAAGAAGAAAAAAAAGAAAAAGAAGAAGAAGAAAAAAAAGAAGAAAAAGAAGAAAAAGAAAAAGAAGAAGAAGATGAAGAAGAAGAAGCAGAAGAAGAAGAAAGAAGAAGAAGAAGAAGAAGAAAGAAGAAGAAGAAGAAGAAGAAGAAGAAGAAGAAGAAGAAGAAGAAGAAAGAAAGAAGAAGAAGAAGAAGAAGAAAGAAGAAGAAGAAGAAGAAGAAGAAGAAGAAGAAGAAGAAGAAGAAGAAGAAGAAGAAGAAGAAGAAGAAGAAGAAGAAGAAATAAAAGAAGATGAAGAAGAAGAAGAAGAAGAAGAAGAAGAAGAAGAAGAAGAAGAAGAAGAAAAAGAAGAAGAAGAAGAAGAAGAAGAAGAAGAAGAAGAAGAAGAAGAAGAAGAAGAAGAAGAAGAAGAAGAAGAAGAAGAAAAAGAAGAAGAAGAAGAAGAAGAAGAAAGAAGAAGAAGAAGAAGAAGAAGAAGAAAAAGAAGAAGAAGAAGAAGAAGAAGAAGAAGAAGAAGAAGAAATAGAAAAAGAACAAGTGTGTTTTAGTCTTTTCTTCCATCATATTTTAATTGCTTTTTTTTTTTCTTGAATGTTTTAAACTGGTCCCAGCATATTTCAATTTTCTCTTTAAACCCGTTTTAATCTGTTCTTTCACAATGTTTAAGTCTTCTCTTGAAACGTGTTTTAATCTTTCTTTCGACGTGATTTATTCTTCTTTTCTTTATCTTAACATCTCTGTTCACCACGTTTCAATCTTCTCATTTGGTTGCTAGTGAAAGAGGGAACTTGCATGATGTACAGGAGTACCAAAAGGCATGCTTTCATCAAAAGTCCTGGATCATACCTGACACCGAACGAGAACATGACATCTTACTTTAAGATATGTACTGGAGGTGAGATTTGTGTCAACAGCCTGCCCTGCTAAAATGCGCTTTAAGTGGGTAGAAAGCATTGAAATGTCGCACTTGACCTCCCTCACCTGTATCTATATACCTGGCGAAGCTGGCGTGAAAGGTAACGAACAAGCAGACTAGTTGGAAAGTAATGCAGGAACGCATATGGGAAGAACAATGAAACAGAGCCGATATCAACTGACTAGGTTAGTGGATAATGACGAATTTCTGACATTAACACGATTACGGCATATGGGAGTAAAGCACCGTGAAGCAGTCAATGCCGAGATAGGATACATTATAATCAGCTCCCCGTGGAAACCATTAGTAGAGGTACTCCAGAGCGGCTGCTGCAAAAGAGGACGGACCACGCATGGGAATATTCAATGTGCAGTGACGTCGATTATGATAACGTAACATAACGTACTTGGCTAGTTGTCAGATATGGTATCTGATGGGTACGCAGTGTGACACATCATTGTTAATGGCATACTGAGTAAACTTAGAGTAAAGTATACGGTCAATAAAATTTTTTAAACATAAAAGTGTATGTATGTATGTAAGTTCTACCCCACAAGGACATCACACAAGCGATAAACACACCTGTGACAAAGAGTGTCACCTTGCGGATGAGGATCACCCGTGTAGAGGTCCCGGAAACCCCGTTCAGCCGTTAGACCATATTTCAGGGCCGGCTATATTTAGGGGCCCCGGCAAAAAGTCAATGTAGTAAGTAAAGTAAAGGACCCTTTTCCACGCCTTTAGGCGTATAGGGCATATAGGGCTAGACCTATATTTTTATAGACCATCGGCACAAGATGGGTGATGTGGTCCATATCATCCGGCCGCCTTTACTTCCCGGGACTGTACCCGGTACCCACTCAAGGCTGGGTCGACCTGGGAGCCAAGGTCATTTTTGACAAAAGCCCGCCAGGGAGCGAACCCACGACCTTCCGATCCCCGGCGAGCGTCTAGCCGCTCAGCCACGGCGACTCCCAAAAGTCAATGTAGGGCTTCAAAATAACTAAAAATTGCATCTCACAAGGGGATGACGAGAATTAAAGTGTATAATTTTGTTAAGTCAGTGAATGTGGTTTTATCATTGCTAACACTTTATTATTTTGAGATGCTCAGTTAGATTCTAATTGTAGGCGATTTTCCAACAGACCGCTTTGCGTTGATGTCGACAAAATGCAAGGAACGTTGACCGATCAGATGGCAATGGCAAACTATTGCTTAGGAAAAACCAAACAACTAAATATGGCGGGATTATTTCTGCCAAGTCCTGCAAAGAATACGCAAAACATTTCAGTGTGTAAAGATTCTGTCTAAGATTAAAATAATTTGCTTCAGTATTTATTGTGCCAGACATGATCATTTAATTTAAACAATAAAAGTAAACTAGTGACCATAGAAATAGGATGACTAAGACCGGCTGCAGGAGTGACCAAAAGAGTTAAAATAAGAAAAAACAGGTCATGAGAGAAAAGGTTGACACAGAGCCACTTCTAAGTTACACACAAAAACAGCACATCAAATGATTTTCCTCCCCGTGTGGGTTCCGGGGCCCTATTGTAGGGAAAACAATAATAGACCTACTGTCTGCCCAAAAGAATGTCGTAAGAGTCGACTAATTGGGAGCTTCCTTCGAAATCGGAGTACATCTGCCTGAGAGACAAGCAATCAGCAGTCTGCATACACATGAGTCAGATACGCAAAACTCTGGTTCTGGAATAGGACTGCAGTCCAAAAGTGGATGAACAACCAGAACTTTCCGCCAGAGTTTACAGCTTGTGAACGCGAAGAAGAAGAAGATGAAGAAGAAGAAGAAGAAGAAGAAGAAAAAGAAGAAGAAGAAGAAGAAGAAGAAGAAGAAGAAGAAGAAGAAGAAGAAGAAGAAGAAGAAGAAGAAGAAGAAGAAGAAGAAGAAGAAGAAGAAGAAGAAGAAGCAGAAGAAAAAGAAGAAGAAGAAGAAGAAGAAGAAGAAGAAGAAAAAGAAGAAGAAAAAGAAGAAGAAGAAGAAGAAGAAGAAGAAGAAAAAAGTAGAAGAAGAAGAAGAAGAAGAAGAAGAAAGAAGAAGAAAAAGAAGAAGAAATAATTTGCCTACTTAGAGAGAATGCATTGTGACGTTATACCAATCAAGTCATAAACTAAAAAAAGTGAAGGACATAGATTAGGACTGACAGATAACAGCAAAGAAACTCTATAATAATACGAACTGTCTGTGCTCGAAAGGTCAGAAGAGCAAGAAGTAAAATATCGTATCTCCTAAAATGAAAAAGAGGCAAAGGAATGTTTACTGTATCTACAAATATGCTTTGGAGCTCATGGGGCAACTGAAGCGTCACGGTAAACATCGCGCCATGTATTCACTGGCACACATCAATGGAAGCCAATCAATAGACGGCTATTTGTTGATCATGCTGGACTTCAGGTGCAGTATTGAATGACTCTGCAACGATACCTTGGTATAAAATTACTAAAACTTTGTCGATTGCTGTTGTGTTTTTCAGACTACGCCAAATTCATCTAAATGGAATTTTAATTATTTTCACTCCAAGTGCCATTTCCGAGATGTTTTTTATCACCATAGAAAAGGCGCAGACGTGAATTGTATTTTACTCAAAAAAGATCAGAAGAAATTATTGCTTTTATTGGGCAACTATATGCTTTAATAATATCCTACCCCAAACAAACAGGGGAAATCCACAGGTCACGAGGCAGTCTAATATATCAGGGCTGCACCCAGTCGTGGGACCTAGGCTGCACTCTCTTGTCGGACGTAGGTGGGTAGGGGTTAGGGCCAGTTCTAGATGTTTTGGGGTTCGTTAAAGGCATTAGAAAGCCAGGAAACCCAATCTTACCACCCTCTAAAATGTTGGACTGTCCTGTGACGTCATCTGTGGGTAAGATATTAATACAGAACAGGCAACTACACCATGCCAAAACCTGTGCTATCAATGTCAGACCTGGACAATGACAGAAAAAAGACAAAATAAAACATTACGAGAACTCAAACAAAGATTCATACGATAGGATTCTAATTTAAGAATTTGAGATAAGACCAGGAATGATGAAATCCAAAGGAGAATGGAGGCGGCGGCAGCTCTTGATTTAATTTAAAGACAAC